TATTCCACCACACAATCCAACCATTGAAGATATGATTAATCTCTGGACACGTCTCTCACTCAGGCCGATGCACGAGTCCTGCTTTTGTCCTGCTTTGTCCTGGGAGTGAATGCCCATTGCTCTCCCATTGTTCATTAAACCTGCCGCTCTCTCCGCCTTACAGCAGGTCAGGGGATTACACTGCTCTGCTCTCCCACAAACTCATTCATGCAACGCCAACTTTTGACCGGGGCACAGGCAGAGGAGGCCGTGCTTTCATCTGCACAGCGTCCGGATCCCTGCGACTGGATCAATATCACAGAAGAAGCAATTTGGAGCCTGGATCCCCTGGTGCCGCCCGATAATCAGGAGCTCTATCCCAGACACAAAGCCGACCAGATACGTACGAAGCTCCCATTATTGTAGCGGTGGTGATCCAGGACACTCGACATTCAACAACATTTATGAACTTTTATTAACATTTATTGATATTGAAAACAAAGGACATCATCTGTACTTCAGTTAGCAGGTTTTCCCAATGTTTCGTCCTTAATCCCAAGAACTCAAGGGAGGGAACTTCAAGCGAATGAAAGCTCAGCCTCAAGTTAACACATCTAACTCAATAACACACATCTGAGGTCTGCTAAGATGTGGTTGGGAGCAAGTCTAACAATCCTGCTAGGTCTAACGATCGTGCTAGGTCTAACGATCCTACCTCATTAGCATGTCACTGACCTATTGTCCTGCTGAGATTGCTCGGGTGGAGTGCAGGTGGCGGCTGAGTTGTCATTCCCTTGAAGTTTTTTTAGATTAAGGACGAAACGTTGGGAAAACCTGCTAACTGAAGTACAGATGATGGGTGAGCAACCTGCCTTTGTTTGGAATATTGGTCATCATTGGTCATTTCCCCTTTATGGGCCAATGTCTCTGTGTGATTTTTTTGTTTTCATCATTGAATTTCTTGTGTTTAGATAGATATTTTATTATTGATCCCTGTAGGAGAAATTCCAGTGTCCAGTAGCAGCAGAAACACATGCATCCATAACAATAAAACAAAAGAATAGATAATTCAAAAAGTAGATAAGAATAGTATTAAAATGCCACAGCAGCAGAAGGGGAACTGTGTGGCTAAAATGAAAGACAAGAGATGGGATCTTTGCGCACCAGAGTAACCTTGAAGTTTAATTCTCAGCTTGGAATTTTTCTTTGTTTTTGTTTTTTTATAAATAAAACTAATATTATTTTCTGTAATTGACTTTTTCTCTTTAGGTCTATAGGATAATTAGTTCTTGCAGTGTCTCTCCTCTCACACACTGCTGCACTGTGATCAGTCTGATTGCAGGGGAGGGGAGCACAAATAGAATTAAATAAATAATAATCCACCAACAGATCTTGTTTGATGGTATGTATCTGTTACGGTAGATTAAAAAAAATAATAGTAAATGATCGTGAACTGGATATGTCTTTAAAAAAAAAAAATTGCCATCTCTCCTGTTACTTTCTCTGCCTCATCAGCCTTTCTCACCTGGATCACATCTATTTGCCCCTTCACCTTTTCAAAATAAAGTAGTTTTAAAATCCTTGCTTTTTTGCTGAGACAAGACTCCAGCACCTAATTATCTGCTGCAGTAAACGCCTCGGCTGCAGAGAGTTCAAAAAGCCTTCTCTCTGCTCCCACCAGAACCTGATTTCACTGTATCCGGTCATTGTGGCCTGTTTCTAAAGGGGATAAAATGAAATTCTGATTCACTAAAAGTTCCAGTGCCCCATTTCTGCGGCTACAATGACCATGTCCCAAATGCCACAGGAGAAATGTGGCTGTAGAGCAGTTTCTTTGGATAGAGAGGAAGACTCTTTGGGCTCAAATAAAGTGAATCTCATTAACTCTGCACTGATGTCACTTTAAACCGGGGCAGCCTCCGCTTTCTGTTTAGTTCCAGGAAAAATTCTGTGGGTTTTGAAGAAGGTTTGCACAATTTCTCATTTGAATGTGAATTTATTTTTTAGTCATTTAGTCATTTAGTCAGTGATTACACAATATGTTACTTGTATGATTTAAACGCTTATTTTTTTGCCTTATCCCACTTTTGAGTTGCCTTGAGTATGACATTTCAATTGTGCAATACAAAGAAACATGCCTTTTATATAATCATTGATGTATTTGACTTATTTTTGTAGTTTGGTTGTGAAGGAAGAGCGAGCGATTGTTGACAATAACACTCTGTCTGTGTCCACTAGAGGACAGAGTTTCCCGCTGAGGACTTTCAAAAAGCCTTTCTGAAGGTCAACAAGCTGTTTCCAACATCACTGTGAAGATGAGCTCCAGCTGTGATCAACACAACACAAAAAGGCACAAGTGTTAAAGGTCCGATGGATCTTACAGTTTATATGAATGAAAAGCACAATGATACATGACACATAAAAAAATCTCAATATTGACATGAGGAACGCTGCTTCTCATTTAGTGTTGAAATCAATGGAGACAATGACAAAAAACAAAAAATTCTCGACTTGATGCACTGATGATGGTCATTATATTAGCTTTTTCTATTGTACATATTTGAACCAAATAAGGAATGAAATATGATTGAATAATTTATTTACAGGTTTTTGTAACCATAAAGCTAATTTAGTGGATGTTTTGTGTCATGATTGTTAATGTGTGTGTCTATAGGGCTGCTTTGTAATGGACTCTATGCACGCACCACTTCCGGGTTTTAGCTACAACCCCACTTCACTTCCTGTTCGCGGGGAACAGCTTGGGTTTCACTGGAGTTCAGCAGTGGTTTACACGAGTTTCCCAAATAATGCTCAAACAGGAATTAAACTGTGAGGATACTGGGCATTTTTGGGACACAACAGTGCTCTTTGATTGTGCTGTCGTTGTGTTTTTATAAAGTTTAAAAATCGCTCTGAGTGGCCTCAGTCAAAGCTCTACCTCTGAGAGAAAGCACAGCGACACTTTTGGGTCAGTCTCAGCTGAATGTATCAATCTAATTACTAAAAAAGTCACTAAAACTCACCTAAAAGCCTTAGGATAGCATAGGCAGGAAGTGAACGGGCTGTTCTGCGTTAACAGGAAATGACGTCACGCCTCCCCGTGCATAAAGCCCATGGCATAACCATAGACTGTATATATTAACGTTAAAGACTTCCATGTTCAGGCTAAAGCTAAATATAAATAAAAAGAGTATTATCCTCATTATGTATTTTATAATGTAACTACTACTTCCTTTGTTTTAAGAGTTGTTGATGTTAGCTAAACATAGTTTACAATGCTAAACCAAATGGTTGCTAGCATTATGAAAAAAATCGCGTTAGCATTGTACTAGCCTTACATTAGCATTATGTCAGCATTACATCAAAGAGTATAAAAGTAGTTATCTATACTCTTTGATTATATTAACATCACGTTAGCATTACGTTAGAACAAGCTTTTTTCAATTCAAGCCACGACACATCATTTTGTTCTTGTGTAACATTCGTGAAAGTGTTTAGCATTGAACCCAGAAATGAGAAAAGATGTCACACAAAACAGGCTTACAACGATCATCTTTGCAGCCCTGAAAAAATGAAGTTGAAACACAAAAACATGTATCTCAGTACTAGATAACGACATGCTTCTGTCTGCTAAACGGTGATTGTGAATGAAAACTGTGGTTCATTATTATAAATTAAATACATCTGAAATTTCAATATTGAGGAAAATTGGTGCTATAAAAGATACTACTTCCGTGTTCAGTCCTGCTGCTGTACTGCTCCCTTCTCTGCCCATTTATGCACCGCCGCTGTACTCAAGCTAGCAATCTTCAATATTGCTTTCTTTCAAGCAAAAATGCCTACGCAACACTGCTGGAAAAACTCACAATTCTAAAAACTAAATCTGACTGCCAAGTAAAACAGTGGGAGTTCTGCAATGGTCACAGGTGCAATAGTGGAAGAGAATATATAACTTGAACATGTAGGAAATCACGCAAAAAACAACTTTGAATATTTAAATGTCAAAATAGAAACACTTATAACAAGTCAAAAGCTGTGAAAAGTCAGTTTTGTATGTTATGTCCCGTCTAAATCGATCTCACTATGCTACTACTAAGTCTTCACACACATGTATTTTGTTGTGTGTCATATCTTAAAATCTGCTTTTTCAGACAGAAAAAGTGGAAAAAGACGATTAGCCCCACTCAGATTTAACCCCAAAATGTCAAAAAGTGACTCCCCGAGACTCTTTTGCAGAAGATAAGATTACTTAAGAATAAGACAGAATGTTGTGGTCTGATTTGATCCCAACTTTTTACCTTTACCACTTCCTCCAATGGGCCAAAAGTCTACCTCAAGGGTTTCAAGTAATAGAGCAGGATAAATATATCAGATTATAAACACAGCTACTGCATTTGTGGGTGAGAAAAAAGGGCAGATAGACTTTTACATGGAGTGATTGTCTTTGAACAGTCCTGAGAAATGCAACTATGAACAAAAGGCATTAGACCAAAGTGTGGCCTAAAACATTACAAAAATAAAATCTAACAACAATTTAAGGCACAGAATAGTAAATGAAATGGCAACTTCAGCTAACAAAAAATACATAGTGTGCATTAATGGCCGATAAAGATGACGGGACATTGAACAACAGACTAGAAAAAAAAAGATTCAAAAGCAAATACTGATTTTTTTTTTTTTTACCATCCACATGAGCCACTGCAAAACCATCAGTCCATTTGATAGAAAAATACTTTGATTTAAACACAGTAGCACTACAAGCCATTTTCAATCAAAACAGTAACTTTTCAAAAACTAAATATTAGTTTTGTCCAACTCCGGAAAGGCACGGCATCTTTAAAAAACCAAAACATGAGGATAAATTGTTTAGTATTAGGCACATAATCCCACAGGGCACGGAGTAGTTGGGTGTAAAAGCCACTAGGTCCAGTTTAGTGAAACAAATATGGCAAAAGTTACTGCAAAAACACATGTATTTCAGACAGTGTCACTTCTGTAGAAGACGGATACGTTTTTGTGGCTCAAACTTCTTCATAAAAGGCCGTTTGTGACATGTACGCCGAGTTCCTCTGCAACACAAAACATGGAATCAGTAGTAATATTGTTATAACCGTATAGTAGCAGTATAGTAATGTACAGACAAGAGTAATGTACACAGTAATGTATAGTATAGTATAGTATAGTAACAGTATCGCATTGTATAGTAAATAAGTTTTAGTTTGTTGCATACTGCGGCTGTGGACGTTCATACAATAAACTAGTATAGTACAGTATTGATACTACATTACTGCACTTTTATTGTATTTCATAATATCTGTTTGTGTTTTTATGTATCCCCACCATGGATCTATTATATTAACTGGATAGGGTATTACTAGCTTGGCGCTGAAGAACTCACGTGCTCGGGGGATTCTCGCGGTACTGCAGACTAAACCAGACTAAATACACGTGGGCTACCCAGAGATGTTGCCCATAGAACTCAATGTAAACTAAAACAGCTCAGCTGACAGAAAACCTGACAGAGAAGCTTTCATTAAGGTCAGATTTTGTGGGGATTTTAGTGTCCCTTGTCATCCTGAACTTTTTTTCTTCTTAAATCCTTCGGTTTTCTTTAAATCCACACTTTAGTGCCACAAACTTTGCTCGTCTGGCTCCCGCTCTACCACTGCTCTGATCAGCAGTTCTGTAGGTCAGAGCGCGGCCGAGCCCCTCTGTGCACGTGCATGAGAGCCACACACATGTATTTGGCGCATTGCATCATGGGAGATCGTCCACTGCACAGAACCGGGAGGACCAGACGATGGACCAGATATAGCGAGTGATATGGCGAGTTCCGCTAATATGTCAGCGACCGTGCCGGCACATGTGCCACTGAGCACAACCATTCATTTGAATACGGCGCCATCTTGGATCGCCGGGGCTTGATCCCCACCGGTGCTTTTGCAAATGAAGATCTTCACGAAATTTGAATAGTATAATACAGTCTAGTATGGCTGTGGGGTCGGGGTCAGGTCCAGACATGTACCTATTTTTGTTTCAATCTAATCTTTAACTCGGACACACAAAAAGGTTCATATAGCACAAAAGCAAATAGAAAGGAACACACAAACATACAGTATTTATCATAATCTTACTGATTTGTATTAATTTGGTCCTTAACTTTGGGATTTTGTTTTCAAATGTGGAGTATGTTGTTGAAAAACTATAGACATACATGTAGAATTGAATAGAACATGTCCTGGAGTACGTACGTTACTGTGAGGAGCGTATTGTTGCTCTGGGTGGTATCCGCGGGGGTCCGGGTGGAAGTGGCCGCCCTGCTGCTGCTGCTGCTGCTGCTGATGCTGCTGATGCTGCTGCTGCTCCTCCAGCTTCAAGGACTCGATCTCGGTCTTGAGCTCCTTCAGCTGGTCCTGCAGGTGTTTGCTCTTTTCCATGTACTCCAGCCTGAAACCAACCACCTCAGTCACCGCCCCTCACTTCTGCCACTGCTATAACAAGTACTAAAGATTGTATGAATTGGTGATAATTGGTAATAAAGTGGTAATTGTGTCTATAATACATGATCTGGAGAATATTTACTTGCTTTACTTATTGGGTAGAAAATGTATGCATACAAAAATAAATGGAGAAAATTGGGTAAGACTTTGAACTAGAGCAGTGGTCTCCAACCTTTTTCACATGGAGAGCTACTTTTTTGGACTATGCTGAGAGAGTCCTTTAGCGTCAGAGAAAAAACAAAAGCCTATTAAATGGCGAGAGCGAGCATCAGATGGGGTACTGCGACTAATACAATTCAGGATTTATCTTTTAGTTTGCATTGACAATAGTTGTGGGCATTCGAGTTAGCTCTCCAAAACATTTATTCTGAAATGATGGGGCGACAGTAGCTCAGTTGGTAGAGCATTGACCTTTGGGCCTGTAGGTCGTGGGTTCGAGCCCACCATGGGACCTACTCCAACTGCTCCCACAAATGTCTACTGTCGTTGTGTTCTTGGGTAAGACACTTAACCCCACGTTGCCTGAGGCCCCTGCTGAAAGAATAAGGCTGCGTCAAGAAGCCATTTTCCTGCGGACCCACCATCTGCCGAGGGACTGATGCTATGAACATTGGGTGGCAGCTCTCATTGCCACCCCCCCGACCCAGAAATGGACTAATAAAGGGGTTCAAAATGAATGAATGAATGTATGTCTAAAATTACTATTTGCAAATGCAGTTACAAGCTACTGGTTGGAGACCCCAGAACTAAAAAAAGGTTAGTTTGGATAAATATTGTTGTTTATTTTTAATCATATGTAATTTTTACTTTTTTTTAAACAATTGCACTTTAATGTATGAAATATAACGGCATCGATAGAATTAGTATTTTTGTTTACAATATGGCGGGGCGTTAGATAAAGAAAAAATTTACTTTTTACCGCAACAACAGTTAACTGGAGAAATTACAGACATTAATTGGTCAATACTTTTGGTTTATGAAAGGCAGAAACTGGCTTTGTCTGTTACGTCTGAAAACTTGTGTAATTATGATAAATGTAATAATGGACTTGCATTGACCAAACTTTATGTATAAGTAAAAAAGTAAACTTGAAAACCACTTGAGAAACATGTGAATTAAAGCATGGACATGGAACTAAGAAGATGCAAATAGACAGGAAATGTAAGTAAAGTCAGTAAGCAACTTAAGAGATGGAAGAAGTGTTTATGTGCCCATATGGGGCCGGCAACCTCGTCCAGTTTGAATGGTAACTATAGTAACAGTGGTTCTTAGCACGCACGCCAACAGTTTCTCCTATAGAAGACATAACTGTAAGAATACAAATATTTTCAGTAAACACGGCCGAATCTCTTCCACAGACAACAGCTGCTGTTCCAGAGTCTGACAAGCCAGAAATCTCCGAGTGTATCACAGAGAAGTTGGTCTGGGAACGGAGCATTCTGAACAGATGGGACTAAAACACAGAGATTGACAGAGAAATAAATCTGAAAACAGCCGACATGACGACTGCCATGTTAGGTCTGTTTAAACTAAAGTGTAGCCTCTGTTTTAGTTTTGATAGTTCCTCCAGCGACATTCATTCCAACCACATGCATTCAACTACAGCAAGCTGAATTTGGTTATGAAAAAGCAATAGCAAACAGCAACGGAACACCTCCATCTGGTGGTAAAAGCGGGGAATTACTACTGCACAATAAGTTTCTTAATGACGCGTCCTGCATTAGACTGCAAAACACTGTCATAGTCACTTTTTTACTGTACACAAGATTGCACAAAAGATGCCTTATATCTATTTTTGTTTTTTAACATTATTCCCATCTACACGCACACCCAGAGTGATCTTATTGAAGCCAAATGTAACAGGTAAATTTCTCTTATGTGAGATGAATACCGTTTTATCGGATCTAATCTTACACCGTGATATCCCTTGCTTAACCATTATACAAGTTTATCACAATATTTTCAAATGATTTCATCCATGTATGGCCTTTATCAACATGTATGGACATCGGTCTGTGTGTCTTATGGACCAATGGCTCTATGTGTTTTTATCATTGCATTTCCTGTGTTGATCTGTGTTGGCGAATCGACGTTTTGGTAAAAGTCCTCAGAGATAACTACTGTTGTGATTTAGGACTAATACAAAAATACATTGAACTGAATTGCACACTGTAAAACATCTAAAGATCATATTTAAGGGCCAGAGGGAATGCATAATATTGGTATGAGCTTTTGACACTCGATTTTAGTCGACTATTCGATTGTCAATGAGTCTAGAGTGGACTAAAACCCCAAAAATTAACACAGAGTCTCTGGTTCACCTCTCCCTCTCGATTTCCATGGACAGTCTCTTCATGTCGGGGTCTTTGAAGTCCAAACGCATGGAGGTGGAATCGTATGAGATGTTTGAGGCTTCGGGAGGAGGAGGAGGAGGAGCAGGAGGCGCAGAGTAGGCGGCGATGAGCTGCAGAGACAACATGGATTTAGATTGAAAAAGGAGAGATCGACGGAATATGATTATAAATGCAACTTATTAAGGGAGAGTGTAAAAATGGCAGAAATGTGAATCTGACACATCTGACATAGTCCAGTCTAAAGAACCGTGTGAAATCCATTATAATGGTATTTGCGATCCTGGGTGTGACGTTTTTTACCACGTTTCAAGTCTTCCCCTGTCCAAAACAACACACCAACCTTTCCCAATGTTTGACGAAGCAGGGAAAGGCACGTTTATTTGTATAGCACAGTTCATACACAAGGTCTGGCCTAAAGGTGCAGTAAGCGATGTGGTTAGCTTAGCCATAGCACCAACTCGAAACCACTCCCCCCCCTCGCCTCTTTTATTTTCTTGTCTTTGTCACAACAGGGAGAGTGGGTGGCAAACGTGAAATTGGCATTTTCCGTTCAGTCATTTTAGGTTTTAGAACATCTGTTAACTCCCGTGCAAGAAACAGGAAGAGGGTGAAGGGGGTAAATGTTGGTGATGAGGGAATCCCATTGGTTTATTTTTATCAGTCCGCTCCAAAATAGGTTTTATTATTTTTTGTAGACTATAGGCATCTGGTCAATTCCATTACTATTTGAAAACACATGATTACTTGACTACTTTTAGGGTTTAGGGACTTTTGCCCACAATATTTTTAAAAAATGTGTCTGGAAACAAAAACATTTAGGCACTAAAAATTAAAAATATAAGTTGTATGCAGCTAAACAAAACAGTTTTCACCTGGATTTGAACGTTGTCAGAGTAAAAGCCTGTCTCACAATTTCTCGAAGACTGGTCCAGATTTTAGCATTTCCACAGCTGTCCAGTAACACTAGACCGCAGTAGGAAACAGCCTGAAGTGCATCAAACATGAAAAAGGAGATTTTTTTTTGATACTATTTATTATCTCATGCATTCATACACAAATTCTCAAATTGTCTCCTTGGCCAAGTTTTTCTTAGTAACTAGCCTGGTTGGAGCCAAAAAACAACTACAAGTCTGCGTTTAAGGTGGGAACAATGTTGTGAATGGGTCTAGGACAGTGGTGACGATCCAGAGCACTCGACTCTCAACAACATTTATGGACTTTACAGGGTGCTTGCTCTTTTTCCTAATTAAAATACCGGACTTTTTCCAGACTTTAAAACAGATTTTTTTTTTTTCAAGACCTTAACTTCATGTACTTGTATACTTGCGTGCCTACTGCCTACTTTATTGATTTGAGGTTGTACCAACTGTGTTTATTAGAAATTTAGAAAAACAATTTAACCATAAATTTTTTCCCATACGTTATTAAGACTTTCAAGGTCTGGAAAACGGTGTTTCAAAATTCCATACGTAAGACTTTCAAGACTTGCACAAGCACCCTGCATTATTAACATTTATGGACATTGGTTTTAGCAAATGACAGCTTGCTCTGAGATAACTACTGTTAATTGAATTGAATGTAACACAGCTATAGCAAATACTCTCCCTGGTCGAGCTTTTCCCTACATAGTAACTTGCGTGGTCTGTCTTAATTGTGAGAATAAAATTATGCAGAACACGTACCCTCTAAAATATTAGGACACTTATCATTCCGACAACTTTTGCCGTTTTAAAAGAACCACCACCTCTGCTCCGGCGACATCACCTGCATATGAGGTCTTTTCGTCAGTTCAGGACGAGGCGACACCACTTCCAAATCTCATTTCTTGGGATGTTTTCTGCCACCTGTGACCAGAACGAGTTTAAGGCGGAAGAAGACGGATGGATAAACAAACTTGAGGAGCAGGAAGCGTTGGCGGTTTGTTTACATGAACCCAGAGCCAGCTGGCAGCGGCGGTTCAGGCCGAATGCTCTTTTGCAACACCCTTCAAATACACGCTCCCGGAGAGGACTGCTCAGAAACTGACCACGCCATCGCAGTCGGTACAAATGGCTCCAGGTCTCTGCTACGAATCACTGAACTAAAGAACTTGATTACATTCCCAGAAAAAAAATATATATGGTTAAAATAAAAGTCTAGTGATTTTTTAGGTTTCTAGTTTGTATTGTTTTAATCATTGACTGTTTATGAGGAGTGGACAGGCTGAATGCTGACGTCATATAGATAAATAGATAGATGTCTAAATACTTCATTGCCAGACACAGGCAGGTTTGAAATTTGTTTTGCACAGTTAAGCAGCTCCATTCGACATACAGGACATTTCACAAAGACACATTTCAATTTATGATTTAAGCTCCTTTAGTTTCAGGATGGACTGATGGACAAATGGACTCAGTCAATTTTTTGTAGAAGAATCAGATTTGAACATAAGCTAGCTGGAGCAAATTTCCTTGTATGGGCATTTGTTTTCCACGGCGTTACAGGGGCAGAAGTGTTGCTAAGACAAACAAACGAAGGCCTCTGATGGATCAACGCTCCTCTAACTAACACCTGGATTTAGGGTTGCCAACCGTCCCTTGAAATACGGAATTGTCCCATATTATAGAAAAACTACAGTGCCTTGCGAAAGTATTCGGCCCCCTTGAACCTTTCAAAATTTCGCCACATTTCAGGCTTCAAACATAAAGATATAAAAATTTAATTTTTTGTCAAGAATCAACACCAAGTGGGACACAATCGTGAAGTGGAACAAAATGTATTGGATAATTTAAACTTTAACAAATTAAAAACTGAAAAGTGGGGCGTGCAATATTATTCGGCCCCCTTGCGCTAATACTTTGTAGCGCCACCTTTTGCTGCAATTACAGCTGCAAGTCGCTTGGGGTATGTCTCTATCAGTTTTGCACATCGAGAGACTGGAATTCTTGCCCATTCTTCCTTGCAAAACAGCTCGAGCTCAGTGAGGTTGGATGGAGAGCGTTTGTGAACAGCAGTCTTCAGCTCTTTCCACAGATTCTCGATTGGATTCAGGTCTGGACTTTGACTTGGCCATTCTAACACCTGGATACGTCTATTTGTGAACCATTCCATTGTGGATTTGGCTTTATATTTTGGATCATTGTCCTGTTGGAAGATAAATCTCCGTCCCAGTCTCAGGTCTTTTGCAGACTCCAACAGGTTTTCTTCCAGAATGGTCCTGTATTTGGCTCCATCCATCTTCCCATCAATTTTAGCCATCTTCCCTGTCCCTGCTGAAGAAAAGCAGGCCCAAAGCATGATGCTGCCACCACCATGTTTGACAGTGGGGATGGTGTGTTCAGGGTGATGAGCTGTGTTGCTTTTAAGCCAAACATATCGTTTTGCATTGTGGCCAAAAAGTTTGATTTTGGTTTCATCTGACCAGAGCACCTTCTTCCACATGTTTGGTGTGTCTCCCAGGTGGCTTGTGGCAAACTTTAAACGAGACTTTTTATGGATATCTTTGAGAAATGGCTTTCTTCTTGCCACTTTTCCATAAAGGCCAGATTTGTGCAGTGCACGACTGATTGTTGTCCTATGGACAGACTCTCCCACCTCAGCTGTAGTTATCTGCAGTTCATCCAGAGTGATCATGGGCCTCTTGGCTGCATCTCTGATCAGTCTTCTCCTTGTTTGAGATGAAAGTTTGGAGGGACGGCCGGGTCTTGGTATATTTGCAGTGGTCTGATACTCCTTCCATTTCAATATAATTGCTTGCACAGTGCTCCTTGAGATGTTTAAAGCTTGGGAAATCTTTTTGTATCCAAATCCGGCTTTAAACTTCTCCACAACAGTATCTCGGACCTGCCTGGTGTGTTCCTTTGTCTTCATGGTTCTTTCTGCGCTTTAAACAGAACCCTGAGACTATCAAAGAGCAGGTGCATTTATACGGAGACTTGATTACACACAGGTGCATTCTATTTATCATCATCAGTCATTTAGGACAACATTGGATCATTCAAAGATCCTCACTGAACTTCTGGAGTGAGTTTGCTGCACTGAAAGTAAAGGGGCCGAATAATATTGCACGCCCCACTTTTCCGTTTTTTATTTGTTAAAAAAGTTTAAATTATCCCATAAATTTTGTTCCACTTCACGATTGTCTCCCACTTGTTGTTGATTCATGACGAAAAAATAAAATTTTATGTCTTTGTTTGAAGCCTGAAATGTGGTGAAATGTTGAAAGGTTCAAGGGGGCCGAATACTTTCGCAAGGCACTGTATGTGCGTCTCGTATTGAATGGATACGGGACGGCTTTTGTCCCGTATTTTCAGAGCGCACACACACACACACAGTAATCACAGTTTAAGCGTCTACCTTTTGGCCAATCAGTGTCAAAGGGGCGTAGGCTTGATCCCCTCCTTGGGTTTAATGTTGACAAGCGCCAGCGGCCGTGCCCACAGCATCATCACGGCAGAAGTTTGGTAAAGTAGCGTCATATTCCCAGATTCGGACTTCCGCGGTCAATAGCTCACAAAAGTTAATTTGTTAAACAAATGTAATTGTGCTAAAATGATAACCTCTACGTTGTTTTTCAAATCCAATGTGCTGTTTTAATGCAGAGAAATCCTCTGAATCCAATGTACTCCGAGAAAAGCGCTTAGGAAGCGTCAACAAATGTCCAGACCAGCTTTGTAAACGAACAATAGCTTTTACGTGAAGCCATGAACATGCACTAAACTCTGACTCTATAAATAATGACCATGTCTAACTGCTACAGACTTTGATTTCAACATTTGTGAGTTTTTAAAAAATGGATAATGTTTTTCTTTTTTAATTTGCTTGTACAGTAAATGGTCTTTACAGTAAAACACATAAACAATGTATGTTACAGCATTTGTCTTTTAAATTTTTTTTATGACTAATAAGAATGCATTAAAAACTTATTTTATTGTTCTCAAGTTGGCAACCCCACCTGGATTATAGACAGCTCTTGATTTAGCTAATTGCCTGGCCAATAATTACTGCAGAAGTTTGTGAAATAAACTAGTATTATCTTAAAGCTTTTGTTTTTCAGGGAGATGTTGAATTTACATTTTCTCTGTGGCTCCAGTGGGATTTGGAGCTGCCATCTCTCGCAGCATAAATAAAC